CCGACCGCACCTGCCTTGAAAGAGCGCTTCTATGTGAAGGACACGATTGAAGATACGTGGGATACCATTCTGAGGCACTTTGGGCAATGCGAAGATCGCGCGATCACAGAGAAGTTCATCAAAATCGCAGATATCCTGGTGGGACATGTTGACAGGAGTTCCACTGAAGGCGCCATGGCACTAGCCAAAAGCTTTGACATCCAATTCAGACATTCTCGGAAAGACCATACACTTGCAGACAAACATACAGGGGAATATCTAGTATGGGCTCATTTCGTGCCCGATGAGGGGATCGTCAACATGCACCTCAGCGCGAAGAACCTCCCCATACGCGGATGACATCTTCATTTCTGGGGCCAACACTCAATGCATAAAACGTTTGTTGCACACTTTAGGCATTCAACATATTTCGGACTCAAGCCTAAATACGACAAATGCGTCAACCTCACTGCTAGTCAACCTGCTGCGTCAGTTCGGTTTGCTCCACAAGGTCCAGCTGCAGGGAGACTGGTTCCGCGACAAAAATCAGCTACCTATCTAGGTACTCTTCTGTCAGACGCATTCGATCACAAAGCCGAAGTTGCAAATAGACTTGGCGATTGCATCGGAACATGCAAACGTATGGGGCTGTTTTGGCACAGACCAAACACTTCCATACAATGGAAGTTACAAGTATTCAACTCAATAGTTCGCAGCAAGCTTCTATATAGTTTGGTATGTACACAATTACCAACATCAGAAGTATCCAAACTTAATGGGTTCCAAAACCAATTGCTTCGCAAGATTCTTGGCAAGCCATCAGTGTTCGTAGACAGAGAAGAGACTAGTTCCAAAATGTATGAAGAAATCCAACGTGATCATCATCGCAAGTTCGAGCTCTTCGGAGACACATGGAAAAGAACCAAACTGGGGCTCTTTGGCCATATCCTTCGGTCCAGCCCGGCAGATCCGCCAAAGCAACTTGTAGTTGCGCCTGGTAAGTTAGTGCCCCGGCCTGTAATCAAAAAGAAGAGTTGGCAGACCCTGAAGCGATTGGCTTACTGACTCCTACAGTGACACATTTCACTTCTTGCAGGGGCCCCATGCAGTCTTTGGCATAGAAAGCAACAATCATCTACAGGATGTAATGAATGTAGCAATACAGAAGCTTACCTCCATTTGCATAAAAGCTGGGTTTGCCAAAAGACCTCGCGCCTTGTCCTGGTATTGCTCTTCATGTCGCTTCAGAGTCATGTTGGTGCGGTTGTGCTGTTTTCAAGATCTGATCTCCTGCTTATGTATAGTCCTCATGTTTGCTGAAAAACACAAAATGTGCTTTGGTCGGGAGCCCAGTCACGCTCAGCAGAAATTTATTGAAATTATTTCCGGGTGTTGGCGGATTTAAAAAGTTTACATCATTTAAATCCTCTCCTTGATGCCTGCTCAGGACCGTCCAGGCACATTTAAGCTAATTTAGATAATTCAAACCGGCCCTATTTGCATGATTTAATGTATTTTCAGTGGTTGGCGGATTTAAGCAGCTTGCATTGTTTGAAATCGGCCCTTTGTATATATTTTTTAAACTATTCAACACATTTTAAATGGGCCTGGGTGGCCCTTAATAGGATAATGGAAGGTGATTTATTTTTTTAACTTATTTTCGGGGGCAGGCGGCTTGAAACACTTTAGATAATTTGAAACGGCCATGTTTAAAAAGTTTCAATGTATTTTAAATGGGCCTGGATGGCCCTTAATAGGATAATGGAATTATTTTCGGGGGTTGCCGGATTTAAATAATGCAAATAATTTATATCCCCTCCCTGATGCCTGCTCAGGACTGTCCAGGCATATTTAAAAATACACTTAAAAATCGTTTTCATTGTTTTAGATTATTTGTATTTTTCGGGGCCTGGTGGATTCAAATCATTTAAACAATGGAAATCGAAGAAGCCTCTCTCATTGTCTATATAGATGATATATATATATATAGATAGAGTTCCTCCGAATTACCAACGGATTGATTGAGTTTCCTTACTGCAGGTAGGCATCTTTGGCAGGAGCATGATGATCAGCATCAGGGTAAGGCGGTAGAAGTATACCAGGATAAAGGTTAGAGCCGAAACGTCATATTAATGTATGTTTACTAATAGTAGTAGTTCAGTAGCAGTAGCCGTAGCCGTAGCCGTAGCAGTAGCAGTAGTAGTAGTAGTAGTAGCAGCAGTAGTAGTAGTAGTAGCAGTAGTAGCAGTAGTAGTAGTAGTAGTAGTAGTAGTGGTAGTAGTAGTAGTAGTAGCAGCAGCTCCTGCTGCAGCGAACAGGACGAATGAATGATTCTTATTGGTATTTGAAGGGGGTAGCATGTGTATATATGTATATATGAATATATATATATGTATATATGTATATATTTATATCATATGCACTTACATACAAACATACAAACATACATACATACATACATACATACATACGTACATACGTACATACATACATACATACATACATACGTACATACGTACATACAAACATACATAGATACATACACGCACATATATATATATATGTGTATACATATATATATATATGTGCGTGTATGTAAAGGCGTCACTGTAACATGGTGCGTTATCCTCTATCTCCCTCTTGTATACATGTACATGGACACAAACCTCTGCGCCCTGATGCCGGAGTGCGCGAGGCGCCCTGGCAGATGTGACCACCGGCACATCCTCCTCCTCTAAGGCTCTTGTCCAGTTTTGACGATTTGAGATTTAGGACTATGTTTAGGGTTTAGTTTGTTGAGGAACTGTTGTTCACTGACCAGGTGAGGACATGAGCATGGAAATGGCACACGTTTAAGTTGTTTGGTGTCCAAATGGGCAGATTTAGGCACAATACGAGGGACAAACTCACCAGGAAAAGACGACAGAGGGACGCCATGTAGCTTTCGAGCATCTCAGGCCATATTGCAGCCACGTCTTCAAAAGCGACCTGAAGCCCTTCACCCGGAAATCTTCAGCTTCTTGGGCCCCAAGAAAGCCCGGTCACGATTGCATGTCAAGGCCACGGAGCAGTTTCAGAAGCAGCATTGATCACCACGGTACAAATTTTCCGACTTTCTCAGCATCGAAATCCTTGTCCTGACGAGATGGGAAACAGCACGTGCTTTCGCTTGTCAGGCCCAGCTGGCAGTCGCATGATACGACGCACGCCCTAGTCGCGAAACCTCCTCACATAGAATCAATCACGCTGGACCCTCAAGCCTAACCACAAAAGTCACTAAACAGTATGAAGCAGGTCCGACCGAGAACTCCAGTTGAGGGAAGCCCCACTCTAATCGAACCCCGGAGAACGTTATGTGGCTCTTGATGCTCAAGACATTCTTGCCCCAACTTTGAATGTGCCGAGGGATGACCCTAGGTCCCTATAGGGTCAGCAAGCCAAGCATCTCAGGTTTTAACACATCATTGGTCCTTAAGTGCAGACAGCATGCAAGCAAGAGTCGTGATTGTGCGTATGTGTGCCACGTGCACTCTCTCCCTCTCTCTCTCTCTCTCTCCCTCTTTTTCGTGAATCACCCTAACAGTGTTTCCGTGTGGTCAAAATATTTGTAGGTCTGCCATGGTGTGACGGGCTTGAGAATATGCGGCGGGGCGACCGTTATACTAGAGCTACAGTGCCCAGTTCATGTGTCAAAGCCAATACACCCAGCCCTGTGCCTCAAGAGCGGCAAGATTTTGGCCAGGTTGGGCCATGCTTGTCCAGAATGAACGCCAATAAACCACCAGATGCCATGATGGCATTGGTGGCAGAAACCCTGCTTCGCATCTTTAGCTTAAGATTCGCTTCCATGTCTGCATCCTCGAGCTTCGCAGCTGTTTGCTAGGCATTGGCAACTGTCAAATCGATGCTGCCCCCGAGTCAACTGCAGGGGCATGGACCTTGGTGCCAATGTTGCTGCAACGAGTTCGCTTGTCGTTGTCTCGTTCATGACGCACTTCTCGCCACAGTTTGTTTAAGTGCCTTCCGAGTGCGGCTGCTTTGTAGTAGCAGCAGAAGCGAAACTGCCAAACTACCAGTCGTCGCCATCGCAGTTGCTGTCGTCGTCCTCTCCGTAGCAGGACTCGTAGTAGCTAGGCGTAGGTGGTCGTCGTCAAAACTAGGGATCAGAAACGTAAGCTCCAGACTGGCAGCATCGACATCAGCATCGCCTTCCCGCGCGCCCGGAAGTACCATAATCAGCGTTGAACGGAAAAGTGTCAGTCTTTTGTGTTGTTGAGCCTGGGTTCTGTCGTATGTCGTTTTCGATCGATCCTTCGCGAGCATCAAGGCAAGAATTTGCAGAATGTAGCTGGAGCCTCACACCATTCGACATCTCCTTTGTGTGACATCAAAGCCTTCAACAGCTCAAGCTTTGCATGTAGGATGAACTCCGGAACTATAGATGCAATCCAGCCAGACACAATCACAAGCAAGTTACCATCTTACCATTAAGCCCTTGATTTTCATATTCATACATTTACAGATATATATATATATTTATATATATATATATGTATGTATATGTATATGTACACACATACATACGTACATATATGTATATATATATATGTATGTATGTATATACATGCATGCATACATGCATACATGCATACATATACATGTATGTGTATGTACACCACTGGACACCGAAGCACGTGCCATGCTGCATCCGTTGCTGCGCTGCACGCACTTCTAAGCTATGGGCTGTGCTCCTCGGCTTGAGATCTGAAATTTGGTGGTTTGTTTCGACCACAATGATCGTATAGATAGACTGGGTGTTAACCTCTTGGTATGCCGTATGCAACTGTTGCAGCAACGATAGCATCCATTCCATGTGAAAGAAGCCCACTCTCCAATTAGAACAGGATCTTTTCATCAAGACGCGAGTCATGGAGTGAGAAACCTGCACCCTCGATTCCCTCGATCCTGAACCCCAAGCCCATAGTCAGATCGCGTCAGACTGGAAAGTCGCCTGCGCCGAGGCCAATGCCGCACGAAGTGTTCGGACCCTATCGCACACTCGACCGCTTGGGAGAAGGACAGCAGCAGTCAAAAGCAGTCTGCTTGCTAGCACACGTGTGTAGGCCGAGCGTAGCAGCCCTTCGTAATGTAATCTATGGAACCCCCCTTTTTGGAACTTTCCGAAAATAAAGATACCACCAGCAGGAACCCTTGCAGCAGGCCCTTGCAGGAACCTTTAACATGACACCTAAAAGAAACCCTTAACGAAACCTTATCGGAACCCGTCAAGGAACACTTGTGGAAACCTTTAAAAAAAGGCTTTTAGAACTCTCTTCAAGTGAACCGCTTAGGAGCTCTTCAAGGAACCCTTAGTGTAACCCTGACAGGAACTCTTAAAGGAACCCGCATAGACATACTAAGATGGACGCCGAACTAACTACCAGTACTGGTTCTCAGTGTTCCAGATTATAACTAGAGTAGAACATAGCCCAACACCTTACTGTAATGATGCAACTATTATTTTAGAAACTCTTATATATAGAGTAGACCCTTCTAGCAACCCTAAACCCTAAGAAGCCCTGCCTTCCAGGAGCCTTTGGAAGAGTCTATCTGGCCGAGGACACACGGCGACCGAGCAGCCGAGCCCTGTGGAGTTGTCTTGATGTTTTTAAAGGGCTTAGGGTTTAGGGTTTACGGTTGAGGGTTTAAGTTCATTTTACTCTAACTATTGATCTGTATGGTTTTCAGTGGTGGCGGTGGTGGGGTTAGGTTTTATAGGGTTTGGTTAGGGTTAGCTAGGGCTGCAATATGTGGGGTTTGAGGTTTTGAGTTTAGCTTCTACTCCCGGAGCCACGCCTTCTTGAATTCTGGGGTTTTGGTGGTCATCGCAGGACTATGAGGTTAGCAGGGGGTTATGTGCTCGTACTTCCATCTGCACGAAGACAGCATGAAATCGTCAGAGATTGTCAGTGTGAAGAGGGTTGCTGATGTAATTCTTCAAGCCGGGTCGCATCAGAATACTTTTTACTGAGTGCGCTGCTGGTGGTGCTTGCAGATTGCAGTTCTCCGTCTTGTTGCAGTTTGTTGTTCAGAGGTTCAAGGGCATAGCTAGGGTGTGGGGTTCCATAGCTTTTGAGCTTTCTGCGTCAACGGCTCCCGGCCGAAGGGAGTTTCCAGTGATAAATGCTGATGGATGTGTTTTTGGCATCGGAGGTACAGGTATACCTGAACGTGAAATTGAGGATCCATGTGGGTTTGGGAAGCAATAGGACCATGACTGATGAAAATGGTGGGTTCCATAGTCTCGGTTTGGCTACGAAAGTTACTGGCGTGTTTAGTGCTAGGATAGACCCATAAGGGGTCCTTAAAATGTGGCTACATCCTAAACCTTTTTCTTCCCCAAGTAAAAACCGTGTAAAGACCCGAAAATGAAGCCCCAATAGAACCAAAGCAAAACCCGCAAATAGTCCATGAACGATCTGTCCAAAGCCGCCGAAAGCCTGAGGCCACTTGGTAGCGCTGAAAGTGGGCGCAGGCCCGGCCGAGCGTCGGTCTCATGCAGTTGCGCAGCTGCAGAAGGACGCTTGCTTCGATTTAGAGTTTGAGGACATGTATGCCTCAGGGTTCAACACAATTAGGGTTCAAGGTTAGGTTTCGTTTTGTCCCACGCACAGGTACCGTGCGGCCGTGAGAGCCCCATGCACGAGGGTTCTATGCAGGGTATATTACACGCATTTTAACATATAGCTTATGCAATGTGCAAGATGTAACCTGTTAATTATATGATCCTGTCTCCTGAGGGTCAGCTCTTGCACTTCTGCTGTTGTTCTGCTGTCGTCTGATGTTGCCCACATCAGAGCTATGATGGTCCAGCGTTGATGGCCAAGCAGTGCATTGGCACTGGGGTGTGCCGGGAAAGCTGGGACGGCTTTGTGAATCATTTCGGCTTGAAGATGGCGAGTTCTAGTGTTCGTTGAAGGTGTTTGTGTGTTACGACTTAGGGATCGTCTGGGACGTCCACGAACCTCGTCACATGAGCATGAGACTCTGGGCTGGATGCCAAAATCAGCCCGTCAGCATAAAAATGTACGTCAAACACGCGCAGAAAATACACACCTCGGATAAACACCCCAACAACCCGAATAAGCCCCCCGACCTTACCCGAACAGCCAAACCATTCTAAACCCCTGCACACCCTGAAGCCGTGGACACTAAAGCTCTTACAATCCCACCCAACCCGAATAAGAACGACAACCCCAAAAACCCTGACCCCTAGACATTTGCACCGTGGCTGAAGCGCAGGTTAGTTGGTTGTTCTGAAGGACTTGTTGGAATCCGTGCCTACCTTGTGCGAGTCGAAACCCAAAACCCAAAACCTACACCAATTAGCCCTAAAACCCAAAGCCTTACCCAAAACCCCAAGCCCTAAACCAACACCAATTTGCCCTAAAACCCTGAGCCTTACCCTAAACCCTAAACCCTAAGAATCTCTGACCCCCTCGGACCCTGAACCCTGAACCTCATATCCCTTGATGGAACCCATAGAGGAACTGCTATGGTAGCCCACAGTCTTATAGATCCCTTATCAGAAACCTTCTAGGAACTTCTCTAGCAACGAAACTCGTCTAGATCCCTTATCACAACTTCTGTAAGAACTTCTATCCTTAAACCCAAACCGCTAAGTAAGCCCTAGACCCAAAACCCTGAACCCAAAACCCTAAAACCTTAAACCCAAAACCCTGAACCCAAAGCCCAGAACCCAAAGCCCTAAAACCTAAACCCTGAACCCAAAACCCGAGAGTGCTTGAAGCACCCTTGGATTCCTGTGGCGAAGGAGGCCGAGCTACTCCAGCGCCTGCAGCCGAGAGGGTTAGGGCAGGTTGTTTGTTGGGTTTTCTGGCTTTGGAAGGGTTGTATGTTAAGGTTTAGGGTTTAGCGTTTCTTGGAGGTTTAGAATTTAGAGTTTTGGGGTTTGGGAGCAAAGGGCGCGATCGTAGGGCCTCCGTGGGTGTGTGCGACAGTGTGTTGGGGGCTGGGGGCTACTTTGCCGGTTTATGTCTTGGGGCTTTTGAGTCGTCTGGGGCTTCTCGGGTTTCTGTCCCAGGGTTTTACGGCCGTTTACAGAAAGGGTTTAGGGTCGGTTTAGGGTTTAGGGTTTGGGGTTTAGGGTCGTAGATGGGTTTTTAAGGCTTCGAGTGAGAACCCCCGATGAAGCGAAGAAGGATTCTGCCCGGAACCTTGGCCCTTCTGAAAGGGTTTTTAGGGCTTTAGTGGTTTTAGGGCTTTTAGGTGTTTTAGTGGTTTTTGGGTTTTTAGGGCTTTAGTGGGTTTAGGGTTTTTAGGTGTTTTAGGGTTTGACCTGTTGCCATTGGGTTCCGTTTAGCTTTTGGGGACGTGTCTCATCGTGGAGTTTTCGGGGGTTTAGGGTTTTGGGTGTATAGGGTCAAACTAGCCCCGGAGTGTGAATGGCTGCGGGAGGCCACCACGTTTGAAGCTGCAGTGCCTGAGGGTTTGGGGTCGCGGTGCATCGTTTTCGTAATGGGGGGGATGTGCAAGGCCTCGCGTGAGAGTCTGGATTTCGGCTCGTGGTGTAATATAGGAGCCTAAATAATTACCAATACTATTTTGGAGGCTCCTTATTCTAGTTTTGGTAGAATATACCCTTCAACCCTAGTCTAATTTTTAAAGCCTCTACACTGGATGAGCTTCAGCGCTGGACTTGAAGCAGAGATTGGGGTTTGATGGGTTTAGCTGCAGGATGTAGGCCCATGAAGCCCGAGACCCTGAACCCCCTAGAGCCTGTAGCCTAAAGCCTTGAACCTTGAGCTCGAACCCTAAACCGCCCTTATACCCCTACCCCCCTACTCCCTAAACCCTATCCGCAACGCAGACAGCCCCAACGACCGGAACCCCGCAGTAGGCTGCCTTTGAAGGGGCTGTTCCTGGGGAATCCTGTAGAAATCCTTAGATGGACCCCTTAACCTAAAAGACGGTTTAGGGTTTTTTTTGGGGATTTACGTGCATCAGTATGTTGAGTTCAGTTTTTTAGAGATTTGGAAGTTACTCCTGAATCCGAACCCCTCGCATCCTAGAGGCCTGGAGCATCCTCACATAGTCGCGTACGAAGACTTCGGCATTGATGACACGCAGGACCTTTACCCTAAAAACCCTAGGACTCCCGCTTGATCGTGATTCTTGGCGTGGCGTTTTGCTACGGGTGGCCCTTGGCCGTGTGCGAGCCGTTCATGTGGCTGGATCGTCGTGCGCACGTTTCAGGTTGGATCGCATGAAGCCTGCCCGAGCTGCGAGACATGATTCAAATGCTCCGAAAGCAGGGCCTAATAGCATAGAAAGCATCCTTGTCGTTGAGCCGCTAAACCCTCACCAAAGAAACCTGACCAAAGTTTTGAGAAACTGATATGTTGACCTGAGTTCTTACACCCCATGGGATTCGTGAAGTTGCGGGCTCTCTGAAGATCTCTGCTCGCAGGACGTGATGTGGCTGGCTCTGGAGGTGTCTCTGCATGCAAATCCCTGCATGCCGATAGATCAATGGGTGCATGCACAGATCGATAACTCCATCGATCGACAGATAGGTCGACTGGTAAACAAGTAGGTCGATAGCTCGATAGTTAGGTCGACAGACAGAGAGAGAGAGAGAGAGAAGAGGCCCATACCCCGAGCAAGCAAGCAAGCAAGAGAGAGAGAGAGAGAGAGATATATATATATATGTATGTATATGTATATACATGTTATATATATATAAGTACATATATACATATACATATACATATACATATACATATACATATATATATATAGAGAGAGAGAGGGAGCTTGCTCGTTAGCTAGCTATGGCTAGCTAGTTAGATATATAGATATGCCAAAAGGTGCTGGATGGCGGTTCCCTGCGCACCATCCTAGAGGGGCGACGTCGGGTCGGTAGCCCGTGCCCAGAGAGCCCCGCGGCATCGTACGAGTTCAACATATGCTTCTATCAGGGCTTCTAATTAAGAGGCTTTCTGCAACGGGTGTTTTTGGAGCTAGTTTTTGTTTTGTGCGGTGCGTGTTGAGCGAGGATGGTTTACTAACTAAAACCTTTAATGTGTAGGGATGACGTGAGTATATTATAGAGACGCTTAAGGTCCGGGGCTTGAGGGATTTAGGGATGACTTGTAGCCGAAAATCATATGCAGGTATACACCCGGCGAAATGCCACGAGTAGGCCCTGGCACACGATGACAGGGCAATCGTACCCGACTCCGGCTAGGGTGTAGATGCCAGCCCGTAGCGGAACCCTAAGCTTCAAAAACACCGGAACCCCGGGCGAGGCGTGGCAAAAAAACTGAAAGTTTAGCCTTTCGGCCAAGTCAAGATGCAGATGTAGGGCAGAGACTCCTAAGCTTGCGGGGCCTACGGCGTCGAAGTAGGTAGACTCAAGCGCTCAGCTTCCTCACTCTTTTTCTTGTCCTAGACCCTCCAGGAAACCTTATATACTAATAAAAGCCGAGGACTCGGAGAGCTCTTCCTTTTTATAACTCGCGTCCTAAATCGACACGAAACTACAAGGCAGCAGCCGGAGATTGCATTTATCGCTACTACTTGGCTCCATCTTGTACCCTCAAAACCTGTGGATTTGGGGTTGCACTATGAAGTGAGATTGAGTTACTAAAGAGCACTTCAATAGACTACGCTTGTTATCATTTGTTGTCGTGGAGGCTCGGATAGTGTTTGCTGCTGCGTTCATATGTGTCACTCGTATGAGCATTCCCCTGAGCACCGTGGCTCCTTTGGCAGTGTTGGTTGTGTCATGTTCGGTTCGGATTGCTTCACGCTGGCTGATCTCAACCCTGAACCCCGAACACTTAAACCAATAGCCTTGTTAGAATACCCTCCTTATCGAACCCTGATAAAACCCTTCTCTTGTCCGATCTCCGACGGAGCTAAGGTTTCCTGCGCCGCGTGGTGTTGGAAATTGGAAGTGCGCTCCAATACATCCACGCAGTGCTTTGGCTGGTACAGTTTAGGGTTTAGGGTCCACTAGCTCGGTGCGACACTTTGACACATGCCACCTGGAAGCAGTCATATATGCGCAGAGGGCCGGTGACCCGGTTCGTGTAGAAGTCTTGCACGTTTGGCAACCGAAGCCGGCAGAGAGAAAGGTTGTTAAGATTTCTGTGGCTGTTTTGCTTCATCCGTTCATGTGTAGAGTATAGTACGATGCCACTTTCTTGGTGTACCGCCAGAAATTAATGCTGGAACTGTCCCACCGAAGGAACCCTACCTCTTCAAATCTGCAAAGCCGGAAGACCACAGGAGGGCCTTCTGCATCGGGACGTCAAGCCAGCCAACATCCTGCTGACACTGACCGCACCACCGGTGCTGAAGCTGGTTCCTCGGACATGAGGTTTTAGGAGTTGTTTAGGGTTATATAGCCCGAAACCCTTTAAACCCCAAGCCCAGAACGCCTTAAATCCCGCGCGCATTTCGAAACCCGACACCGATAACGCGTGGAGGGTCAACGAAGCCTTGACTGGACACGCAGGAACACCCCCGGTAAAAGGAACGCTCGCGTACGAACTAATCAATTTTGACGCTATCTCATGCAGATTTGATCCATAGCCAGTGCCCAGCTTTACCTTCAGCAGGTCTGCGCTCGAGTCCAAAGTTCTGTTGTGAGTTGAGATCGTAGTTTTTTTCACAACGAGGCCTTGCGAATTCTGCTGCTACTAACCATCATGCTGGCCACGTTCATGTGGGCAATGCCCCGGAGCCGTCAGACTCATTTTTCCTTTACATCTAACGGAATCTACGGTCCTGCCGACACGTTACAGATTATTCAGATTATCATCCTTCTCCAGCACTTGGCAGGCAGACTTTGGAATCTCGAAGCTGCTGGAGGATGCAAGGGCCGCACACTCCATAGTGCGACGCTTAGGGTGGTGCTCTGAAGCCTCTGCCATGCCATCAATCAGCACTGACCCGTCATGACCCCGACTGCTCCGAAACAAGCCTTTACTCTGCGCAGCTGTGCGGCCACTTGCAATGCGCTGAGGGCTTGTGATGCTGCCTGACGGTTTCTGATACTGCAACGTGAAACAGTCATAGGTGAGACAGCTAGCTTTTGCTTTGGAGAAGTTGGTCGTTCCCAGCTGGAGAGGCATGTGGCTTGCAGGTTGGCGAAGCACTAGTGCAAAGATCGAGCTATGGAGATGTTTGCATGCAGCATGCATGAGCCAAGCGGTTCAGGGAAATCAGGCCCCCCGCCCCAGAGTACATCTCTAAGTTGCTCCCATCTGCAATTAACCACCGACCTCTAACACCCCAACCGCCCCGAGAGTACAAGACCCCTCGGATGTCAGCAACAGTCTCGGACCATCAAGGTGGGAACGCAATGCTACTTCTCGCCGGAGCTCATTTCTGGAGAGTTGGGGCCCTGGAGCCAAACCCCCCAAAAGCCCGAAGCGCTCAGACCCAAAGCCATGAAGCACCGCATCCCCGAACCCCTACTTTCTTTTTTCAGCTAAGCCGCCCAAGCCTTGAACCTCAAGCTCACAGCCCTAATTACCCTGAACCCCAACTACAAAACCCGACCCACGCCGTGCCTGCCTTGTGACAGTGGCCAAAAAAAAGAGCGACCCAACCCAGCCCATGAATCTCTGCACGAAGCCCGGGAACACCCAGCCCCAGCAAGCAAAGCACGGCATGACATCTCCAAGAAGTCTTCGGCATCCAATGTCTTCAACAAGAACACGAACAGCCATAGCAGCCGCAGTTGAAGCAGGAGCAGTGGTGGGGTAGTAGTTGGAGTAGTAGTAAGAGTAGACGTAGGAGGAGAAGTAGGAGTGGAAGAAGGACTAGGTGTCGGAGGGCAGTAGCAGTAGAAGTAGCAGCAGCAGCAGCAGCAGCAGCAGCAGCAGCAGTAGCAGTAGCAGTAGGAGTAGCACTAGCACTGGCACTGGCACTAGCACTGGCACTAGCGCCAGCACTCGCACTAGCACTAGCACTAGCACTAGCACTAGCACTAGCACTAGCACTAGCAGTAGCAGTAGCAGCAGTAGTAGCTTTAGTAGCCGTCGTAGTCGTAGTCGTAGTCG